CAAAGGCCGCGTGCACCGGCGCCCGGGTGCAGTTTGTTAAATTGGCAAGGGTTTCCCACATAAAGGATAGAATGTTGGGAAAGAAGCTAGGTCATGGCAAACTAATTAGGAATAAGAACTTGTAATTATAGGTCTCCGGCCTTCTGGAATTAATGATTATTACTATACATATTATGATTCATGAGGAAGTAATTATCTGTATGATGATTCAGGAATTAAATGGGTTGGAGAGAAGCTAAGGAAATTGAGGATAGAGTTCTAGGGAATGTTAAAGCTTTGATGTCACGCGCAAGAATAGATGGTTGGCTTGCACTAAGACAGAAGGATGGGTGTAGGTGTGATGATGAGAGTAAGAAGTGTAAAGAGAGGATAAGAGTGTTTATATAAATAATTATAAGAGAAGAATTGAGTAGATATATCAGGCTTGTAAAGATTGTTGAAGGAAGTTGCTATGATCAATAAACCATTGCTTAATCATTGTAAGATGCTACTGTAGATGTGGCCTGCAGACAAGGGCTAGGTTGTGGATTATAGGACAGTCTCCTTAAATTAAAATGCTTGGTTTGTGGAGACATATTAGAAGAATTATGATGAATACATACTAAAAAGATATAGACCTAGCTTGTGAATCGCGAAAGCGGGTTTTATCATTTGGAAGGAGATTGTTTAGCACATGTGACATTTGTTGGATAAGCAAGAGGTATAAATGATATTTTTAAAAGCTAATTCCCATGGTGGCCCCATGGATTTGGACACGGAATGGAGATGGCAAGTTACGCTCAATATTGGATTTTTGTTTAACGATGTAATAGACTGTTTTTTCAAGTATTGCTAATACCTTAGTTTAAGAAAAGGAATATGTTACGCATCTCATCCACTGTATACAAAATGGAATATAGTAATATAGTACAAACTCCATGATTGACTATTTTCTTAAATTAAAAATTAAATCGGTTAGATTGCAAAGATTGTAAAGTTTATTCCGAAGATGAGAACTTTATGTACCAAATCTGTATTATTGTTAGCTTTCGTTCCACACTTGTCACTGTATTCAGGCCATACAGCGCGTCGTTTCCAGGGGGCGCCCTAGCATTAACACAATTTCTTAAAGGATTCATGTCTTTATTATTCGACAAATTTTACGCTGGTTGTCGACTACCTAACGCAACCCTCTACTTTTCTCATCCAAGACTTGGGACCTGGCAACGGCGGTGTTCGATAGCACGAAAAACAAGAAATAATAAATTCATCACGTTCATGTGCTTTACCCAAACAACTACAATTCCATTAAACTGCATCATGAAATTCCATCTGGATCATCATCATTTTGTCAGTATCATATCTGGTCTTTAAAAAAATAAGCTATTTTTACTTTCTAAACATTGACTTTGAAAACTAACTGAGGAAACTAGAATGACACTATAGCATTTAGAAAACGATGCTAGAATTCCAAGCAGGGCGCTGACAAAAACTGAAGTGTCAGAGAGAACAAAGGCTGCAAAGGTTGATGCTTACTGCTAAGCACATAAGACATGAGCCATCCAAAACTAAGTAGCCTTTTCATTTGTGAGCTATAAGAACAAAAGAACGTTTGTTGATGTAGCAGGAGTACATAGTGACAGGATTGGGCAAACAGCAAGAGCCCAAATGAAGAAACTAGCTGAGGCCAGAAAAAGGCAAAGGATAAGAGCCCAAGCTAGTCCCTATAGTTCTCCCATTTCCAACCACTAAAAAATTTATCACCAATAGAGAGCTCTTGGCAAAAATTGCCCACTAAGCCTTAGCCAACCATTAGTTTTTGAGGATATTGTAACGAATTCTCCAACAAACCATCCAAAACTTCTACATCATTCCTAACACATCATAGAATCCTTCCGAGCTTATCTGAACCTCCATGCAAGCCCATACAAAGATCTATGCCATTCGTGCTTAAGTAGGCTGGGCAATGCCAAATTGAAAAGCAAGACATGCCATACCCAAAATATTTTTGCAGACTTCTTGTTGATGTGGAACAAACTAAGAAACATGGTTACTAACTTCTAAAATACAAATATTTACCATTCCTTCCAATTAAAATCAAATAAAACTATGACTAGGTACTAGCTGAAGGTTCAAAAAAGATGCAAACTTAATGAAAATTATATTTTATTTTGAATTTAGTAAAATAGAGAGTGATAAACCAAGAGAAGAAAGAACAATAATAATACAACGGTAACTTTATGGTGGAGACTCAACCAATCTCGAATGCGTAATGATGATATTGAAGATAAACTTCATGGTAATCCTTCGCTATGAACATTATCTTCCTTCTATGTCTTCTCCAAGGAAGCACACAAATATTATGTTATCACTTGGCCCGTAGACTCAAATTAACGAGACGGAACAAATAATCGGACTATTATTTAAATTTTATCTACTAACTAGCAATTTCTAATACATTGAATGAGCCACAAAAACCTCTAATACATTTTGACAAAAAGAATGTTATAACTATTTCAACAAATACTTTTTTCCTAAAAGGTCACACCAACAATACACGTTCTTATTATCATACTTTATAATTTATCTCTAACTAAAAAATATTCTCTATTTCTAGTATTTGAATTTTCCTCTCATAAATTCAACTTATTACTAAATACTATTTTTTATAAATTATTGTCTCACTCTCTAATTAGCTATTGAATAGCTCTCGTATTTAATTTATT